ATGGCAGGTCTGGCTAATGCTTGCCAAGAGAGCCTTCACCTAGTAGCACCTACCCCACAATATGTGCATAATACATTCTTGCTGAATGATAGAAAACCACCCCAATTAACACTGACTGTACGTTTAACATATGACAGGTATATTGTGAAGAGCAATATATTCATTTTCTCAATTTAATCCTCACACACACAAAAACCGCATAGGTAATATCTCCACTTGACAGACAAGGAAACTGAGGCTTGGAGAGTTTTAGGTACCTATTCAAGGACACACAGCAGGTAAATGGATGAACCAGGGCACAAACCTAGGTCTACCTTATACCATAGACCATGTTCTTAACCACACACTCTATAGAGAGCACAGTTTATTTAGATTGCATTAATATAACCATTTTTACTGTAATAAATGGTTTGAGATCACTTGCGTTCTCATAGCAAGCTGCACATATCTTTATCACAGTACTAACTGGATTGTATTAAAATTAGCTCTTTCTCCTTTCTAATAGACCTCTTTGGGTGTATGTGCCCACTTGGCTCTGACTGCCCTGCATTGAGAATTGCTCCAAGAACCCAGTGGCTGGGTTCCCACAAAGCAACATTTGTATTACTGACCTCACTCCCTGGGTGTAGCTGATGGAACCAGTGTTAGATATCTGACTTAAGCTGGGAAAATTATTCTGTCTCCTTGGAATTTAGAAATGGCACTGAAAAATATCAGGTTAATTTCAACCTCTTTTCTGAACAGAAGAAATATAAACTGAGGAATTGTATGAGGTTTCAGGTGTGTCTTGAAAATGGAGATTTAGAAAAAGTCAACCTGCAGAGGCAGGACCAAAGGAACTGGATTCAGAAGCAAGAGGCAAAGTCCAGGCAATTCTTCTGATCTTAATTCCTTCCTGCTGTCTAGCCACTCTCTTGTCCTGGTCCCATGAAGCATTCTCATGCCCTTTTAAATAAATGTGGTTTTTTTTGTGTGTAAGCTATCTCAAGTTGGTTTCTGTTCCCTGCAATAACAGTAATAAATAATAATGAATAACCCTAACTAATAGGGCATCCATCCCCCTACTAGACTATATGTTCTTTGAGATTGGGGATTGTATACTGGTCATCTTTTATATATCCCCAGTCTCCAGTACAGAGCTTAGCAGCGAGTAAGCACTCAATAAATATGGCTTGCACAGAAATATCACTATAAACAAGAATATAGCTATAAATAATTCCTTCACAATTTACAGATCTTCCTCGACTTACAATGAGGTTATGGCCTGATAAACCCATCGTAAGTTGAAAATACTATAAATTGAAAATGCATGTAATACACCTGACCTACTGAACACCGTAGCTTAGCCTACCTTAAACTTGCTCAGAACACTCACATTAGCCTACTGTTGGGCAGAATCATCTCAAACAAAGCCTATTTTATAATAAAGTGTTTAATAACTCATGTAATTTATTGACTACTGTACTGAAAGTGAAAAAAAAAAAAAACCAGAATGGTTGTATGGGTGCATAATGGGTGTAAGTGTATTGGCTGTTTACCTTTGTGATCACGTGGCTGACTGGGGGCTGTGCCTGCCACTGCCCAGCATCAGGAGAGGATTATACTGCATATCGCTACTCCGGGCAAAGATCAAAATTCAAATTCAAAGTAGAGTTAATACTGAATGAGTATTACTTTCTCACACCATAAAGTCAAAAGCATGTGAGTCAAACCATCATAAGTCGGGGACCATCTGTATACTTTATTAGTTACAGGTTCAGAATGCTTTTTCTCTGTCTCTCTCCATTTAGCTTCTTGATACGCAATTTCATTTTCACTTTTTATAATCCAACTGTTTCATTTAGGCCATATGTGAAAAACCTATTCTTGGAAATTGATTACCCAAATTTAGCTGCCCATATCGTTTTTTTCCGCCAGTCTGAGGTAGATTCAGATGTAATTATGAGGGGTACCCTAATCGCTGAGGTTGAGCCTCAAGTAGGACTGCCGAATCCTTCTAAGAAATACCCATTGGATTACCTGTCAGAGGCAGAGTTGTGTATTAGAGGACCAGAGGTTTGACCCACCAGCATTTCTATCCTTGTAAGATCAGAGAAGAGCTACAAAAATATATTGCCTCTCAGTTTTATTTTTTTCCTCAGAACAATGTTGGTAGTAAGGTGAAATGGGAATGGTGAAGGGGTAAAATGAATAAAGAGGTATGGTTGATATCAATGTGTCCTGCTCACAGGCCTCAGGATGAAGCTAACTTGAGTAAGTCTGCATTTTTCCTAAACAGATCATTAAGCATCAATAGACAACAAAGGGTTTACTTAGGACAAATTTGAGGGGATGGAAACAAAACTCCATTAGTGTTCTGATTGCCCTATGAAAGCAAAGCTAAGAAATCTGGATTCCCTTCTGTTACCCAATGTTCTCCATCCCCTCCCCTGTGCTTCAGGCAGCTCAGTCCAAGCGTTTCAGTGCTAAAATGGATGGTTATTTATTTTAATCCTTCATAGGTTATAGCATGTCGGAGACTTAAATTCAATTAAGGGTAACCAAATAGAGTTTATGAAAATGAGAAAAAATAAATATTTTGAAAAGCTTAACCAATTAATGAAATGAAAGAAACAAGTCCTTCTAGACATGATTTTGGAAATGTAAGTAGGAAATCCAAGTCATAATCTAGGATGGACAGAATTGAAAGCATCCTTGAAATCATGTTCAGAATCTTTCTCAGTTGAATAACTCACCCAAATTAACAATTTCCCCTATCTCCACTTTTCTCCCACATTTACAGGAGTGAGGCTTAAATCATCCTGAGCTGGTCTATGATATTGTGCCTATTGCCTCATCAATAATCTCAAAATCAGAATGTATAGGAAGACAGAACTAAAAGAAAGTGTCACTGACACTAACTGAGGCACAGGGATGGGGTGGCATGGAGTCTGAGACAGTAAAATATATAAATCTTAAAAATTTTATGCCATTTTACTCTTTTCAAATATAGTATATAACAAAGTCAGATTAATGAAAAAGATGCCCTGCTAGGCCTCCTTCCATGAATGGATGAGATCAATGGGAAATAAATAGCAACATTTGCACACAAACATCAAGTTCAATTCATTGAAAATAACTATTTCTTCAAATTAATATGCTTTTAGAAAAAGCATTTATACTCTCATCTTAACTCAAAACTTCTCTGTGAGAACCTAGGGAAATGTTGAAGACTGCTCAAGCCTGGTTATCACTGATTGAAAATTTATAGAATCAAATTGGTGAAATCATACTATAGGTCATAAATTAAGACTCTAAACTGTATACTCTTTATTGAAAATTAGTAGTAGGAGTCAGAGTAAGATGTATAGAACTCTCACTGAGAAGGGAAAAGTTGTTTAAGTTCACATTATATGTGAGTTAAGGAAGGAAAGGAATGGCTATTTGGAAAATAATCAGTTGCACTTCATTAGCTGGTTTCTGAATTTCTGTTTTAACTCTTCCTCCTATGTAAAATCTGGATAATAAGAGAATCTATTTTGCAGAGTGATCGTGAGGATGATACCAGATAGAGATACCAAAAGTGTGTTTGGAAATGCGAAGTGCTGATCAATAATAATAGTGAACATTCAAATTGTACTTATGTGTTACAAATACTATTCTAAATCTTTATATACATTAATTTATTTAATTGTCACAAAACCCTCATGGTAGACATTAACATTATCCTTATTTTACAGATGATGAAATTCAGGCACAGAAACTTCATATGACTTTCCCAAGGTCACACAGCTGGGATTTAAACTTAGGTTGTCTGGCTCCACAGTCCAAACTTATAATCACTATGCTCCACTGCCTCTCAAAAGTTGACATCATTCTTGGAGGTACATATTGGGCCAATAGAGTCTTGCAGTAAGGATGAGTTTTTAGCAAGACTAGATCATTGGTTTTCCTTGGCAGCCCAGCCCAATTTTGTGATACCCTATCCAGTTCCTAAAATAAACCATAAGGAAAATAAACCTACGAGGAAAAGTTAGGATGCGTGTCCTTTACTCTTGCGTCTTCCAACCCTGTCTCAGTAAATAGTATTTCACGATCAAGGCAGATAGATAGTTGATTAGACTGAGGGCCAAATGAAACTGAATAGTTTCATTCTTGAAAGTCCCTAATACATCCAAGGAATAAGACTCAGTAATACAATATAGTGGCTCACCCAGTAAGCAATTCTCATGGTGGGGTAGGGGAGGATAATGTGCATTTTGATAAAAGCTCATTCTGATATATCTTTCCTCTGATCTCTTCCCCTGGCCACCTTCCAATTTTGAGTCACTGCCCTGCGGTCAGATGTGAAGATCTGATTTTGATTTCATAAAATCATTTATAAATATTGCTTTCAGTATGCCTCGCAAAAAGAGGCAAAACCTAATGGGCGCAATGAAGACAAAAGTAAAAAGGACACCAATACCCCCTCACTGAAAAACTGATACAGTATAAACAGAGGTTTACAGGGAAGGATGAACAACATTTCTTTCATCGAAGGTGTTATTTATAATTGATGACATGGATATAGCGGGATTCTAAACCCAAGCCGGAGCATCTGAAGGAAAAGACAAAAGCCATTTGCTAGGTGTTGTAAAGTTATGACAATATCTGGATTAAATTAATGACTAAAGCCAAGCAAAAAATCATAGATAATGAAGGAAATCATGAGGCCAAACCCAACTCAACTTGATTTAAAATCTTCACCTCCATGCTAAATAATGTTTCCCTATCCCACCTTAGATCTTGTCTTGTCCTTGTCCCCAGCTCCTGCCTCACCTCCTCTTCACTACCAACATACACACATGAAGTTTTCCAGAGGAAAGCAAACCAATAAGCAGCCAATGAACTAATCTTTGACAGGTTAAATAACCAGCCCTGTGTGTTGTTTGTCAGGGGGGCAGGGTTCCACTATGTGGGGTGGGTGTCAGGGATGGGGTGAGGCAAAAATAATCGGTGGTCAAATATTTGGAAACACTTACCTTGAGTAGACCCAGCTGGAGCCTCCATGTCACAACAAACAGGAGAGAATTTAAAACCTGTAATATCAAACATTTTACGAATTAATCCTTACCCAACTCAGCTGGGAGATTTAGCCCATATCCTTCATCCGGTAGTATTTTTTCAGTAACAGATTCAATGAAATATGATTCACATATCATAATGTTCACCTTCTTAAAATGTATAATTCAGTAGTTTTTAGTACTTTCACAGAGTTCTGTAACCATCACCAATATATAATTCCAGAATTACTTCATTACCTCAAAAGAAACCCCATACACCTAGGGTCTTACGGAAGTGGAAGAACGGTGGAAATCCATGGAGAAATTTCTTTTATTTTAATGTTTCGATGCAGTGAACTGGCTATATAACTTCATATGTCAGGAGTGACATGAAGGACAACAAGAAGTCTCGGTGATGCAGGAGATCATCTAACACCCCTTTTCACATAAATTTGGTCATTAGTTTTTCTGTTTCACAGCTGAAGCCCAGAAAACTTTAGCGACCAGTCCAAGGTCTCATAACTTCCATCCTAATGCTCTTTCACTTACATGACTATGCATTCATAGATCATCTATGTTCCCTTCTCATTTCCGTAATTCCCCTCCTCGCTGTTGGCCAAAGCCAGCAATATATACATACATACATACATGAAAATAAACTAAAACAAAATCAAGACCCCAAGGATACTTGGTGATATTACAAAATGTTATGGTCTATCATTAAGGAAATGATATTTTTAACTAGTGGGCAAATGGTCATTCCTGATTGTATCATTGTGGCCAGTGTCCCCTATGGGCTGAACCAGGCAGAGGAGGACAGAATAGAAAAAGCTGTAGGTATAGGACGGTTGGTTACGTCTCTGCCACCTGAGAAAATACTAATTAGTCACTGCTAACAGAGCAGGCCTGTGGTCACGGTAATGGTGCCCTATGAAGTTTAGACAAACAAAATGATGAAGAGCCCAGATTAATGTGTTTAATAAGTATTAATGTGCTTTTTATGAAAGGATTCCATAAGAGTAGGGACAGAGGAACAGAAGTAAAATAAATAAACCTCTTCCCAACAAATGAAAAAGACAAGACTTTTCTGTTTCTAAAAGTTGTAAGAAAAGAATATATAATTACAATTTAATGATACTGTATTATTACTTACTGTCTGGCAAATGGCTGAAGTTAATTTACCTTCTGGGGTTTTTTTTCAATTGTTTCAATCTAACCTGGTTAATTTGAATCTGTCTGTACACTTGACAGGTTAATCTGAATTAAAATAGAAAGCACATACAGAACATGCTTGCTATACAGTCATTCATCTCATTGTTCATATATTGATATAAAGCCAAAATACATGAAATGAGTACTTTCTATAATAAACACCACTAGTAGTACACTGGAAAATAAAGATGAAAATAAAAGGTGAGTAATAAATATGACATGCACAGTATCGCTGACGACATGAGATTATTCCCCTTGGGGGATCACCAGAAATAAAAAGCATTTTATCTATCATTATAAATAAATGTGTTTATTTGCCAGATACTTGGGTACATACCTTGTCCATGGGAACCCACTAACCTGCATTTCTAAGCTGCACAGTACATGAAAGATAAGCAGACATAGGGAAGGAAAACAAATCAAAGACTAAAAACCACATTTTCTCTGGGTTTTACTTAAACAGTATAGATAGTTCTATTACCATTCTCCCCATCCGACTTCCTTTCATGGTCTGTGTCAGTCAAAGACAGTGCAGAGTTGGCCCGGCTGGACAAACAGGAACTGTGTTCTGATTTCATCCCCCGTATCCACATTCTCAGAGCGTGGTCAGGTGAGGCCGCACCTTCCGTCTCCGTGTCCACATCAGAGCCCATCTCTAGCTGGTAGCCATGCCGAGAAACACTGTGCATGTCTGTCTGGTAGCCAGAGCACAGAGTGTGAGGAGTTTCACAGAATTCCATCTCTGAGAAGAAACGAATTTCAGAGAAAAAGTTAAGAAATAGGAAGAAAGACCAATAAAGTTCTACTTTTTGTCCTTATCCCCCCTCCTCCCCCCCCCTTGCTAATAATTATGTGTTTTTGCAAACTTAGAATTCTGGCCTTTTTATTTATGGTAGCTAGGATTCTGTGCTTATTTTGCACTTCTGTGTCTTAAAATTATGCTCCTGTTGATTCTTACAAGGCTCTGGAAAAAGCATGCCCAAAATAGCTTTATAGCTACAATTTTAGGTTACACAAAATGTAATGAAATAAGTGAGTGCAGAGGAGTATAAAGTGTAGAAAGCTGTCCTTTAAAAGATATTTCTCTTCTAGGAAGAATATATATGATCTGTAGAGCACATCTATACTTAAAATACTAAAATTATTGGCTTTCCTAAGTATTTCATACACATTAAGATTAAGAATAAAAAATTCAATGTGAAAAATCTGGGGAAAAACATTACATATTTAAACATACTTCTCTAAAGTATGTTTCCCAAAACACATTAGCCTAACCGCTGAAACTATGAGTGCTAAATGTCATTATTTCCCATTGTCTCCAAAGGAGTTTGAGGCCTACCTGAGGCTAATTATTCTGTTTCATTCATTCTTTCAACAAATACATAAAAAATATTCAATTGTATCTTACACCTCAGCAGGGCTTCACGGTTGGGATTCCCCCCACCCTTTCCCCCAAGTCTTAGATCTCTATAATGCTTAGGATCTTAGAGATGCTGTAATGAATCCCCTCTTTTTACAGTTGAGGAAAATAAGGTCCAGAGAGTGGGTATCATTTGTCTATTGCCCATGTCAGGTAGCAACAGATCCCTTTTTCCTAAAACACCCATCTGGGCGTGGTTTCTGCTAGACACCGGCGAAACCCCATCCACTTACTGCATGAATATCAGGCATTCAGTCTTACAGTCAATTTTGCATTCAATTATGGCAAGGTGTCAAAAAGGGGAAAAGATGCTTTAACAATCCCTAATAAGTTAATGAAAAATGACCACATGCCAAGATATATCATCTGAAATGTCCATGTAATACTTAGATAAGGTAATCCGGGGATGTTTTACACTATATAGGATTTTCTCAGACTGACATCAGAGACAGGGTATGTCATTTGGTCAGGAAGAAGCTTAACTGAGTGCATCTAATCCTTAGCACATATCAATAAAATGCAAACCCTAAAATGAATTTAATTCTTTGAATACAGAAAGTGCTAGAATTTAGATAGACCATACACTAGAAAGAAGAGTGCAGAATATGAATATGTGTTTTAAAAATAGCTGTTTTTGTAACATATAATTGCCAAAAAAGGGTTTAATGAATCAAATCTTAATGCTTATTTAATAGCCATTAGGTGCTCAGCACTGTGCTCTACGAAACAGATACTGTGGGCAGAGAAGGCTACTATAATATATTAGGATAATTCAATTATAAATTAATTTTTTTCAGGGTTATAAGTCACTGCTAAGCACATTACTGATGATTTCTGTGCTGCATGTCTCTAAGAGTAATTCTGTTTTTCTACAAAAATTTGTCTAAATTCCAAAGGAGTAATGTTTTAAAAATAGGCATGGTTTCCACCTGTCAAACATATAACCTCAGGAAACTGTGCTTCTCCTTGACATAAGGCTAAAAGTAAAAATCCATTTTGCCCAGTATAAATCTTAGTGATCTAGAATATTGTGACCAATTAATATTCATGCCTCTTAATTTCACAGTGTTTCATTATCCAATCCTACTGTGCAATTGTTGCTACAGCAACCTGATCGTGAACCTGTCAGCTTGAAGCTGCAGGAAAGGAATTTTATATAGGCCTGCATTCACAACTTCCTTCCCTCCCCTAGACCAATGCTTCCCAAACTTCAGGATGCTTCAGAATCACCTGGAAGGCTTGTTTAAAACACAGATTGCTGTGCCTGCCCTCCAGTTTCAGTTTCTGATTCAGCAGGTCTGGAGGAAGGCTGGAGAATCTGCATTTCTAACAAGTTCCCAGGTAAAGCCTGGGACCGTACCTTGAAAACTCCACCCCTGGATATTTCCTGAAGTCAGTGGGAGCCAGGAAAAGGGGTGAAGTGAGAGAGCAACCTTACTGGGGCATTACCAAAGATTCTGCACCAACCAGCTGTGATTCTATTTGGAGATGCAAGAAAGAAAGCATTTGAATTGAATTGCTATGAAGTGTCCCCATTTATTTTCCATGGATTCAGGGCACTAATTAGGAAATTTACTTTCAGAAGCACAGACTTGCATTTATTTTCACTCATACAATGGCACTGAGATGTTATTTTCCAAAGATTACAATATGAGCATCTGAGTCATGGTAAAGACATTCACTGGAAAAGGATGAGCAAATAAAAATAAATACACAGCCAATTTGACATTCTGTATAATAAAATACTAGATACGGTTAAAAAATAAAGATCACTGGCAAGTGTAAGAAGAATGCCTTTTCATTAAAGAGATTTATTTCCCATTCAAAAAGAAATCTGAACATGGATTTGTTCCCTTCTAAGGAAATGTGGTGTAATATGATCAAAAAATTACATAAGATTTCTATTGGAACCATAGTCTGATCTGAATACAAAGATTAAATCACAAATTCTCTAATTAAATACAACCAGATAAAAGTACACTTCCCTTGGTGATACATAATTAGAAAAAGTAACAATCCAAGTAAGCTATCAGTTGCTTTTTAATGTCTAAAAAAAAAAAAGGAGAGAAAGAAAAGAAAAAGTTTCCCTTACTTACAGTAAATGATGTGAACACTTCCCTTTCTTGAAATCAACATTACCACTGTGAATTATTTCCTTAAATACACAAAAGTCTTAGTGGTGTTCAAAATTCCCATAGGATGTTTTTTCCATAAAGCACTTACAATGCACCTTAAGTGGTTGTTTTTAGCCTTGCACATATAGCCTTGTTACCTAAAATACTACATATTCCCTAGAGAAGATGAAGTTCAATTGGATTTATTATAGGTCTATTCTTAACCAAAAAGCTAACCATAAGAGAAATGAAAGTACAATCTTAGGATATCTAAGATTTAAATGGACAGACTGGTACCACGAGAAATTACAATTCAGGAATAAACAGATACAGATGTCGCCAAGTGAATGAAGTACTTGGGGTTTCACAAACATGTATTTAAATTTTATTACAAGGAAAACCTATTTTGTAGTCTTGTAAGAGACAAAATCTGAGCAAATCAATGCAGTTGAAATCCAATTTTTAAAGGGGGCAAAAGATTTGAATAAATGCCTCACAAAAAAAAGGTATACAGATAACCAATAAGCAATTGAAAAGATGCTCCACATCATTAGTCATTGGGAAAATGTAAACTAAAACTGCAATGAGATACCACTACAGCCCTAACCATAATGGCTAAAAAACTTCTGACCACACCAAGTGTTGACAAGGATGTGGAGCAACCATACACACTACTAGTGAGAAAGTAAAATGGTACAACCACTTTGGAAAGCGATTTGCCAGTTTCCTGAAAAGGTAAAGCAATTCTTAACAGGAGAGCAATGCACTCCTGGATACCTATCCTAAAGAAATGAAAACTTTTGTCCAAACAAAATTATATACAAGATTGTTCATAAGCTTTATTTACAATAGCTAAAAGGAAGACACAACCCAAGTGTCCATAAAGAACTGAAAGGAGGGGTGCCTCGGTGGCTCAGTCAGTTAAGCATCTGCCTTCAGCTCAGGTCATGATCCCAGGGTCCTGGGATCAAGCCCCACATCAGGCTCCCTGCTCAGCTGGGAGACTGCTTCTCCCTTTCCCCTCCGCTCCTGCTCTCTCTCCCTCTTGCTATCTTTCTCAAATAAATAAATAAAATCTTTAAAAAAAAAAAAAGCAGAAAGGATAAACTACCTGTGGTAGATCTATACACACAGGATGTATAGAATACTACTCAGTCCTAAAAATGAATGAACTATTGATACATGGCAAGATGCATGGACCTCAAAATAATTATGCTGTGGGAAAGAAGACCAACAGCATGTCTATATGTATGTTTCCCTTTCAATAAAATTCTAGAAAATGCAAACCCATCTACAGTGACAAAGAATAGATTAGCAGTTGCCCGAGGGAGAGAGTGAGGGGGAAGTATAGGACAAAGGCACGCAAGGAAACATTTGGGATGATCTACATGTTTGTTCTCTTGATTGTGACAATAGTTTCACATGTGTTTGCACGCTGAAGTTTATCAGTTGTACACTTTAAGTGTGTGCAGTTTACTGTACTTGAATTATACCTCTATCAATTTTTTTTTAGTGGATTTTATACCACCAAGAAATAGGACAGTGAGGAGACTGAAGAATCAGTCGATTTTCATAGATGGGGCCACAGGTCTCGAGTTAGAAGCAGGCCCTACTCTTTTCCTCCTCGTGGAAGAAAGTACATGTAACATGAATTAAAATGTAGTCAAAATGCTGCCTTGCTTTTCGTCTAAGCCAACAAGCCATCAAGGCTAACTGATGCATGATTTCTCAGTGATTCTCTAGGGAGCACGTTTTTCCTGGGAATATAACAGTTGAAAGCTAATTTAAGGAGGGAAACGAAGAATGACGCTGATCACTGATGAACTTTAAGCATCAAAGGGAACATTCTGTAGCTGGGGGATCATGAGACTAAGTTGAGTGGATCTGGCACAAAGGCTCACTTTAAGCCACTATTAATGCTAATAAATGAATATATTTTTTAAAATGCTATGAAGTGCCCAGTAAAATGAATTTTTGCTCTGAATCTAGGGATTGATCTTCAGGTGTTCAGCCTGGAGAAGCCATTTATCAAAACTTGAAAGGGAAAGTCATAGTTATCTATACCAGCATTTTTCTAGAAATGCCATTTTTGAGTTTGATAAGCTCAAGACTTTATTTTCCTTAAAATTCCACCCATCCAAACTTCTTCTAAAATGGGAGCTTTAAGGCATCACACTCCAAATAAATAATTGGAGGTCAAAAAGCGTG